TTCCCTGCGTTCGCAAGTGAAGGGGAGCCAGGGGAGAGCCACATGACAATGAGGTTGCCAGTTGACACCTTTGTGATGTCAGCAGCCTCCGGAGACTGCCCAGCTGAGGGAGGGAGAGTCCTGACTCTTCTTCTGGATGGTGTGAGGGTGTTTTGTGTTAACTCAGCAAGCCGGCTGTCCCTGGGGGAGTGGGGGGAAGCGCACGGATTCACCGTGTGCGCGCGTGTGAATCAGCTCCCCAAGGAGGTGCAGTGGGTTAGACTAGATTGGACCCCCTAATCCGCAGGCCACAGAGGGATCACGGAAATCTCCAGTCCAACTCCCTTTTTTTTTACTGATGTGAAAAGTGAACCGTCTGAGGTCAGTTCTCAGCGTGCGTCTCTTCCTTAGGTATTGAGTTTGGATAGGTGCCATTTCTGGGGTGTTGTCGGGAGAAGATGGGAAAGGGTGGAGGAGGGGGGAGCGCCTTTGAAATGAGACAAGGGAAATTCCCTAATAAGGTGGTGTTCTTATGACTGTATTCCCAGTTTGCATACAACCCTGCCTGCATTTGGAATATATATGTGTACTGGTATTTAAAAGCCTTTTGAGCAAGTATAAATATCCCCCCTAAAACAAAACCCAAATGTATTAAAAAAAAAATCTGAGTGCAATGATAGGAACTATTTCTTACCGTTTATATTCTAGGATTTTTAAAATAATGAGGGCCTCACTAGTGCTTCTAGTATGAGTTTATACTCATTAGCTGCTTGAAGGATAATGGGAGGGCGTCTTTTGGAGGGAAGGATGGAGAGTCTGGAAGCTTAAGTGTTAGGATGTATCACCCATTCTATGGAAGAAGGCACATTGGGCAGAAACAAAGAAAAAGCATCTCAGGAATTAAAATTTTTATTTTAGGGAAAATAGGATTTCATTCTTTGAAACATTCATAGATAACATAACTTGAATATTAATAAAGTAATGAAATCTATATTTAGCTTAGCACAGTGCCTGGCACCTGATATGTAATAAATATTTATTGAATGAATGATGCGTGAATGTCTCTGATGGTTTGCTCCCTTTTCTTGTTTCTCTGCCAAGAGAGAAATTAATAAACTCAAGTGGATTTGTGGCTGGTTAGCTAATGCTTGATTGTGTTTACTTACTCAGCATTCCCAGGCCATGAATTAGGATGATGACTTTGGTGTGTTTACCGAATTGAAAGTGACCTTATTTAAGTAGAAATTTAAACACTTAAAATAATGACCCAAATGATAATTGTACTAATTGAAGCAGAATTTTATTGATAGAAGTGTCACCCTCTCCTTATAATTAAAAAAAATAATAAACTCCTGGCTAGATCTTACATGATTGCCCAGGAGAGGAATTTGGAACATGAAGTCTATGGAGAAGAATTAATTTCCAAAGTGATCGTTTCTTTTCGGGGCTGGGGCAAAGGTGTGGTTTGATGGTGGGGTGGGGTGGGGATGCATTATTTAGATGGCGCTGTGTGTGTTGTGTTTCTTTTTGATGAGAGGTGATGCTGCCTGGCCTACCAGGGCTCGTGGAGTGATTTTATTGATGTTCCACCCTTTCTTTTTAAAAAATATCTTCTCGATACTTTATTTCTTATTTTTAAAATTTTTATTGGAGTATAGTTGATTTACAATGTTGTGTTAGTTTCTGCTGTACAGCAAAGCGAATCAATTATACATATACATATATCCACTCTTTTTTAGATTCTTTTCCCATATAGGCCTTACAGAGTATTGAGTAGAGTTCCCTGGGGTATACAGTAGGTCCTTATTAGTTATCTGTTTTATATATAGTGGTGTGTATATCTCAGTCCCAATCTCCCGAGCTACCATATGATCCTGCAATCTCACTACTGCAATCTCATGTATCCAGAGAAAACCGTAATTCGAAAAGATACATACACCCCAATGTTCATAGCAGCACTATTTGGAGTATAGTTACAATGTTGTGTTAGTTTCTGCTGTACAGCAAAGCGAATCAATTATACATATACATATATCCACTCTTTTTTAGATTCTTTTCCCATATAGGCCTTACAGAGTATTGAGTAGAGTTCCCTGGGGTATACAGTAGGTCCTTATTAGTTATCTGTTTTATATATAGTGGTGTGTATATCTCAGTCCCAATCTCCCGAGCTACCATATGATCCTGCAATCTCACTACTGCAATCTCATGTATCCAGAGAAAACCGTAATTCGAAAAGATACATACACCCCAATGTTCATAGCAGCACTATTTACAATAGCCAGGCTATGGAAGCAACCTAAATGTCCATCGACAGAGGAATGGATAATGAAGATGTGGTATATATATATATATACACACACACAATGGAATATGACTCAGCTATAAAAAAGAATGAAGTAATGCCATTTGCAGCAACAGGGATGGACCTAGAGATGGTCATGCTGAGTGAAGTAAGTCCACCTTTTCTTCCATGACTTTCTCTCTCTTTCTGACTCTTCCTTTCCTCAGGGAACCAGTGTCTCCATGTTGCCCTATTGAATTTCCAGCGCCTCGTGTAGACTAACTTTCTCAAGACATTAGCCTCAGGCTCAGGCTTACCTGTCTGGCCATAAGATTACAAATGTTGTCACTTAGAAAAGCCTTAGATGAATAAAGCATACTAAGGCTTATTGACCAACACACACAGTGGCTGTGTCTCTCTCTCTGAAGTATTATTATTTTAACAAAGCATCATGAGTGGTTAACCTCAAGGAATAGTCCTTTGGCTTGAGCTAGCTGTGTAATTTTTGGTCCTGAGGTCTGAATATCCACAGGCTAATTTCAGCTTTTCCAGGTTAGACCAGATCCCTAAAATGTGTTCTTCATTTTGAGACTGAGTAAATATGTGTTAGTGAATGAGTGGACGAGAAAAAAGGAGAGTAAAGAATGTAGCCTTTCCCAGACTACCTGATCTCAGAACCTTAAAAATTCTTTTCTCAGGGAACATCTTGTGAAACTACTATCTCAGGGATCCTTTTTTAGGAGATTCTAGATGAGGCTGTTTGCCCTTGGTGGAGTTGTTTAAGGTCTCTGGGGCTTTATTTTTCTCATCTACATATTGGGGGAGGTGGACAAGATAATTTCCAAATCTCCTTAGGACTTCCAAACTCCTTCTTAATGGAGAGGTTTCAGGCACCACCCAGTGAGCCAGTACGGGAAGAATTCTGGAGCCAAGAGAAGAGCCTTTCTATTCCTTCTAATTACATCGCGTAGCCCCACCTGTCAGGTGGGCGCAGACAGAATTTGCTCTTCCCAGTGAGCTACTCATGCAGCTTCAGCTGCAGCTAAGTTGCCCTTAGTATGGACAGCTGTTTTATGAGCCTACCTCTGCCCCCTAGGTGGCCGGCATGACGATCCTTCCCGTAGCACAGGTGGGGTATCAGGTGAGCACGCTGAGAAGCCCCTGGTATCAGTACAATCTCTCTTGCTGAGTCTGGTCTTGGGCAGGCTTCTATTTTTAGCTGTATCTGATAGAGACACTGACTTCCCAGCTTAATGATCTCTCTCAGGTACCAGTGTGCCTCCAAACAGCTCTCTCGTGATCCAAAAGGCCCCTGATATTATAAAAGGAAAGGGCAGGATGACATAGAGCAAAGTGGACTCAACCGAGACACTCGATTTCTCTCACTGTAAAGCAGTGTGCCTTTGTGACTCCCAGGACCTTGATTTCCTTTCTGTGAAATGAGACAGGATGCTCTCTAAGGGCCCTTCCAAATTTAAAGTTCTATGAAGACCCAGTCTGTGCAGGGAGAGGACAGATGCTTGGAGATTTTAAGACCCAAGCACTAGGGACAGAGAGTCAAGCAACCACCCAGTGCTTGATACAGTGTAAGCAAGTCCATAAAAGTTAACCAGTAAATATTCCACCCAGATGCATGGGTATAAGTGCTAAGGGAAATGTAATTTTGACATACGTTTATTTGCCCAGGAGAAAAATAGCGGAAAATAATACATGTGCCATTAAGTTAAAACTGCTAATGTGTTCAAGTCAGTACTTACATGGGGTTAGGAACCTAGGGGCACACAAGTTAGTACTTTGTCCTGCTTCCTGGGCAGGGTATTTAGTGAATTTAGATCTAAAGAATGTCAAAATTTCAAGGACATTTCTGTAGGAGCTGCTGATGGTATCCAATTCACTCCAGACTTTTGACATTGTCTGAGCCCTATTCAGCAAGGTCATCACAGCAGGTATGAGGCTTGGGGTAAGTCCTGTGGAAAGCAGATGAAAATTAATAGGAGGATCAGCCTGAAAGAAAGAAAAACACAAAAAACTCCCAAGACATGCTGGGAAGCCTGGGGGCTAAGGGCCAAATCTACCTATCTACCTACCTACCTATCTACCTATCTATAATGAGCCTTGGGTCTGTTTTTAGTACCACCTGGTATGAACTATTTTTGTCTTTTTCCTTCAGGCTGCCTGAGTTCCAATCAGGAGATTGGAACCTTACAGAGTGCAGGCCAGGGGAAATCAGGCCAATTGCTGTGTTCCCCAGGGACTTCATCTACATTACACATCTCTGCAACATTCATTATCCAGAGGAATCCAAGGGGAAGCCTCAAAACTGCACACTGTTTTGGGGGGATAGGATCACATTTTCAGCTTATAACAAATCTATATCCTATTGCCCACAGCAGTCTTAGGTGAGTAGTCATTATGCCTGAAACTCACATTGTGACTTTGCCTGAGCCCATTGATGTGGGAGTAGAATATGGACTCTTTTTAGATTTCAACATGGGATCTGAGAG